GGTTTTTTGGCATACACTTTGCTATTCACATAGCCCGACAAAAAAGTCTGGTGCAGTCAAATCGGGCGATCTTGATGGCCAGTCGATATCCCCTCCTTATGATACCACACGTCCGGGGAACTTTTGCCGCTTGAATTTCATCGTTGATCAGCTGTGTAACATGTGTGACACGCATTGCTGGTAAATCGGAGTTCCCCAACATCCACGCACGCTATTTTGCCACAACTGAACGATTGCGCTCAATGAACATTTTAACTATATCCGCACGATCTTTGGGCGTAAAGCGATACATTGCTGAAATTGTAATGGAATAAACTTTCCAAAAAGCTTTTACTGCACGCAGTCGGTTGAAATCTGTCAAAGTAATTCAATGTTTCCATTGACAACATGAAGATGACGCACCCTGTATTTATTATGATTTTTAATTTATTTATGCAAAGTGACTCATTGAAATTCTAAAGAAATTTTGACAAAAAAAGTTTAAAAGTAAAACATTTCAAACAATCATTTGAGTGGTCCGCACTGCTCCCGGGTATCCAGAGCTCTAGTTAAGAAGTGTAATGTAAGTTAATAAATATTTTCAAAAACCTTAATTATTTATGCCGAATTCCAAAAACTTTACATTACCTATTAAACCCATACCTGTTCATATGTACAAACATACAGAATTAAGCGTTCCGTTTGACTCAAGTGTACTCGTATGTGGGCATTCTCCGTATTTAGTGATGTTCAAAAGTTCAATGCTTTCAAAGATTTGCAAACACTTTCGTTTTAACAATAAGTCAACATTCGAGGTGAAAATCGTGGGTGTTCCTACAATAGGCTGTGTTTACAGTTACATGAACTACTAACGGCACTCGAATTGACGATATTAACGCAAGTGCTTGCTTTCAATGTTGAATTTCGGACAAAATGAACTTGAACTTGAAATAGAATAAACAATTCAAATACATCTCATGCACATAGTATTCACATAGAATATATCAAACTTTTTGTGGAAAATTGAAAGCCTTAAAATTTTGTCTCTCATTTTTTGGTTTCTTAGTATTTGGCCTTGTGCGTCTACATATTCGTTGACAATAGTTAATAGTTCTGTTCGGCGACTAGATGGGCAGTAACAATTTTTACTGAATTTTATTGAATCGTGTTCGATGAGCCAAAAACCCAGTAAAATTAGTAACGAGAGAGCGCGATTTAGACGCTTGGCTTGGAAAGGAAGTTGCAAATTCGTGCTGGGAAAATTTCAGCCAGTAAAAGCTAGCAAGTTTGAAAACCGGCCGATATGTTTGTCAGCAAAACACAATTGATTTAAAAATAGAATAATATTAACCAAAATAAGAGCCCAAAAAAAAATTTTCTAAATTAAATTTAATGGTATTAACGATTCTGTCAAATAGTTAAGATGCTCATTAAATGAGGATGCGGTGTCAGTGGAGTGGAATCAACGCCACGCACACCACCGAGCCCACGTTGAAGAATTAGAAGCAGGGATAATGCAAAGAATTAGAATATATTATTATTTCTCTTGTGCAATGCAAGTTGATTTTAGATTTCTATAATTAACTAGAAAACAGTGTCGACCAAAAGAGCCTCAAAACATTGGAAAGCAAGGTTGTTGCAACCGTCACAGTGACGATAATGCATTCTTAGGCTTCCGGAAGCGACGATGATGTACAAAAAGAAGTATAACTTAAGTGACGTTTAGAAGCAAAAAAAAGCTCTTGCTTGATTTTTATTTGAACAGAATTGAGTAAATTCTTCAATAATATTGACTTAATATGGTCAACTTATACGGAAAAAGAATTTCTTACTTAAAATCTGAGCGACAAATTGTAGCAACGCAAATTTTACAAAAAATTACCACCTTTTAAAGGACGAGATATATTGGTATCCTTCCTTATTGTTGGACAGCTATAAAGCATGAAGAATTTCATCTTTGTTGAAATGCATATAATAAATGAAAAATGCTATATAATTGCCAATTTTTTTAAAGTATACTTAAAAGTTGAAAAAATTAACTGTATAAATGAACGATTTCAAATTTAAGCGCCGAAATAAACAGCTGTTGCTTGCTGGCTAATTTTTATTGAATCCTCTTCTGTGAAAACTCAGTAAATTTCTTACGTTTGGAAGGTAAAACATCTTATATAGCTGGCGCTGTATAACCGCTTAGTGGATTTTCGGCCGAGGTTGAATTTGTGGTTTTTGCGTCTTGTCTTTCCAACAAATGGAGAGTCCTACAGTTTATACTAAGCCGCCTCCGACCCAGGAGCCTTTATTTCATGGCAGAAATACACTCGCAGCGGTTGACATTTCCTCTTTCTTATTCTCTCAATTTCATTACTGACTAATTTTTACTATACTGTACAAGCAATACAGACCAAGCGATGTGAATTGATAAAACGCAAAATCCCTGAGGAAGGGAAATTTTCTGTTTTCGGAAATTTATTTGTGAAATTATGGTTTGCCTTGTACCATCCCTCGTCATCCCGCAAAGGTGGTCCTACTGCGTTTATTTTTGTGGCAATAACTTCCTATTCCTCTTTAAAATGTTGGATAACGCTTTTTTTAGGAAACTCCTAACTGAATAATCTGAAATTGAGCGCTTGTCGTTAGCCGCTTTCATTTCTGTATCGTCTGTTACATTGAAGGATGGTCAGTAAAATGACTGACGATAAGAAACGACAGAAAACGATGGCCGTAACTCTGACGAGTATACCGCAACAGCGTCGTCTAAAGTTGAACGGCATACCAATGTTACCCGCATCTTAATTTGCTTGGAATATCTGAAAACCTTAACGTGCGGGAACTGTTTTGAAACTATATTCAGATTCAGAGCGTCAAAAAACTTCGAAAAAGTATAATCCTGTTTCTGGTTACAAAATCCTGTCGGCCTTTGTAATCGTTTGTAATTTTTGCTGAAGCCCAGTACAAAACCATTTTAGTTGAAATTAAAAGAAAAAAATTTAAATATATTAAATGAAAAGGTTTTCGACCCATGCATATATTTTACATGTACAACCCGTTAATAACACATTTTGCTCGACCCATTTGCCCATAGTCTATCGCTTCACTGGCTGTTGTGATGGCAGAGCGCCGCAGTAAGAATACCAGCGAACATAAGTCCAAATATCTAGGAATAGCTTTATTAACAGTTAATTTGCTGTAAACATAACTCGCATCAAAACAACTATCCGGCAATATATTTTCTGCAAAACAACCCACATAAGTTATATACGTGTATGCTCGTAGTGGTGAGTTTGGCGTTGGCGTTGGCGCTGGCGCTGGCCAATGCAAAGCGGCTTGGACATGAATGAAACTGCAACTGAAATGCCCGTTTGTCCTAAGCAAACCGACGGAACACGTCGTTGCACTACTTCTGTTGCAGCTCACTCAAGCACAAAATTATAATTAGCCAAGTTAACAATGCGAATCAACAAATCTACCAAGCGGGGCCCACATACATATGTACATATGTAGATATTGGAATATGGACACAGAGAAAAATCAAAAAACAAACTTAAAAAGATATATGGCCTAAACAAATATCCAAGAAACTACTTAAAAATCATTAAATATTATATGTGTAGCGCATCTAGAGGTATACTTGTTAGACTCAATATTGCCAATAGTCTTTGCCAATAATTATTCTGTTTACTTTGAATTAAGTAAGGAGATTGCTACATACCCACCCCAACCAAAACAAATTACCTATCTGATTCTATATGACGCTAACCATGTGTAAATGTAATAACGTTGCACTCCCGTTACAAAACATTGAAACGAATTTTTTATCCATTCCTCCCAAGCAATCAATTTCTTCTTAAGATAATTGACTAATGTTACTGTTCCACCTGGCAATTGCTTTGTTTGAACTTTTTCGTAAATTTTCAATTGAATGTTACACAATGTATGCTCCATTGGAAGCACGACATGAAACCATCTTTACAGAATACATGTAGAAGGCTTGCAGAATTTTGGTATTCTTCGTAGAAGGTACTAGTCTTTTCGATTGCCAAAGTCCAAAGTACTTAGCAAGAAGGTGTGTATTGAATTTTAAGACTGTTAATGTTGATTCTAAGATTGACCTCGAAGTTACGATGAATTCACTAAATATTATTTGATATTTGTTGACGGTATACATCTACTGGCGTACGCCGATAATATTGCCATTATCGGCCTCAACAACCGCTCCGTTAGTTCTGCTTTCTCCACTTTGGACTGAAAAGGCGATTGAAAAATAAAAGTATTTTCTCGGCGAACGGAAACCAACGACGATGGACGATCTTAACAGCTGATGAGTCGGCTTTCGGAATCTTCAAGAGAAAAGTTTTGCGAAGGATTTGTTGTCCCTTGCGCATTGGCAACGGCGAATACCGCATACGATGGGACGATGAGCTGTACGAGTTATACGGCGACATTGATATAGTTCAGCGAAGCAAGAAAGACGGCTACGGTGGCTGGGTCAAGTGGTCCGGATAGATGCGAATACTCCAGTGTTGAAAGTATTCGATAGTGGAAGCTGGGGAGGAAGAAGGCCTCCATTCCGTTGGAAGGATCAGGTGGAGAATGACCTGGCCTCACTCGGTATTTCCAACTGACACCACACAGCGCAAAAAAGGATTGAATGGCGCTCTATAATTGTTTCGGCCATAATCGCGTGAGCGGTGCCAACGCCAATAAAGGAGAAGAAGAAGATGCATATAAAATATTATATTGCTTCCTCTGTATTTACTATCAGGTCTAGGCCAGTCAAAAGCATGATCATGATTTGTGCTTTTGGTTCTATAGTAAAAAATCGAGCTAACTAAGAAGAATAGAAAGGAATAAAAATTTATTTATTTACAAAAATTTTTTTTGTTGAAATAAATATAATAATTAATAGAATAAGAAAATCTCGCCAATATATTATCTGCATGTATTATTGTATTATATATAAGTTGGTATACTATACAGTTTATTTATTGCGCTTTTGAATTTTCATTATTGGAATAAAATAGGCTCGAGAAGAGCAGGCAAAACTCGAAATGAAACATCGGAAGGAGGAAGATGATTTATATCGTAAATTTGCACGCAAACGGGAAGAGGAAGACCGCAAAATACAATCTGAATTCCAAGATGAATGGGAACGCGAACTGCAGCGTCTCACTCACAAATTTGAAAAAGAACTGGCAACATCGCGACGCAATAGAGACGACCACAATATACTGACGTTGCGACATGAACAGCAAAAGGAAGATTTGGAAAAGAATATGACTCTGCGACGCAGCAAAAAGAAAGAAAGTATTACGCGCAAAATGTTGGAACATGAACGATACGAAACGGCTGCTTTGGTAGATCGCCAGTCCAGTGAAATGTTGGAGTTGATCAGTGCACGTCGTTCGGAGTACATGCAAAATGAGAGTATATTTTTAGATGAAGATTTTGATGAAGGCGCTGTCCCGCTAGAATACCCAATGATGGCGCCGATACCAGCTCCGCCAGCTGTTAGTAAATTCCAAATATACACCGATCCCATTGAATTCGAAGACGTCGATCGCATTGCAATATCGGTAAGTTAACAACTCAAATCATTGAATTAACCGTTAAACTTTAAAGTGGTATTTTGTATTGCAATAAACTCTGATTTTTATGTTGTAAAAAAGTTTTGTATTATTATAAATACGTTTGTCACTAGGTCGCCCAAGAGGATCAGAAGACTTTTACAGACTTGGTACGGCAATTAGTTGGTCGTTGCACAACTGATATAGAGAAGGCTCGAACGATATTTCGTTGGATAACTGTTAAAAACTTAAACGCAATGCATTTCGACGATGACTTGCGTGGTGACACACCCATGGGTTTGCTACGGGGCATCAAATATGGCACGGAGAGTTATCATGTACTGTTTAAGCGACTCTGCAGCTATGCTGGTCTACACTGTGTAGTAATCAAAGGCTATTCCAAGAGCGCAGGGTACCAGCCGGGTGTCAAATTTCAAGACTCTCGATTCCGGAACTCATGGAATGCAGTGTATGTCGCCGGAGCTTGGCGTTTTGTTCAATGTAATTGGGGCGCCCGTCATTTGGTAAATGCAAAGGAAGCGCCCAAGACCGGTCGTGGGAAAAATGACAGTTTAAGGTGGTTTGCATATATTTATGTCTACTGAAATATTAAATATAGGCAACTAATTAACATATTTTTTTGCAGATATGAATACGATGATCACTACTTCTTAACGGATCCCAGGGAATTCATATATGAATTTTTCCCCTTACAAGAGGAGTGGCAACTGCTTAAAAGACCGATAAATTTACGTGAATTTGAAAACTTACCATTTGTTCGTTCGCTTTTCTTTCGCTATGGACTACATTTCGCCGATGAAGGCTATGGTGCTGTAGTTTTCACCGACGATACAGGTTAGCTTCATTGTTTTTTTTTAGCTTATTTCTAATTTTATCTTTGATTGTATCTTTGATTAATAGGTGCAGCTACTGTGCGCATCGCCATGCCGACTGACATGCAAAGCTGTTTGATCTTCCATTACAACCTTAAATTTTATGATAGCGACGAGGATTCTTACGACAGCGTGTCCTTGAAACGTTTCGTTATGCAGTCGGTCATTGGAAATATTGTAGCCTTTCGAGTGCATGCGCCCTGTTCAGGCGCTTTTCTTTTAGACATATTTGCCAACGCAGTGACGCCGCAGGAGTACCTCACCGGCGAGCCGATGAAATTTAAATCTGTATGCAAGTTCAAGGTGAGTAGACTTTATGTTTTGCAAATCAATTGGGATAGAATCATACATTAGTATCATGCACTGTCTTGTATTATATAATATTATTGGCGCTTTGTAAGCGAAACGATTTTCAGCCGAGCTCCTCGTACAATTCGTGATATTCGTTTTGAAGTTTTTGCAACAGTTCATTCTAAGCCACCTCTGGGCGGCCGATCGAATTTCATGAGGTGATTTTATTTCATGTCAGAAATAAACTCGGACGGCTTAACAGCGAGCGGCTGAAGAGCGATCGCAATCAGAAAATTATTTTATGATATTGGCCGAAATAGGACTGCAACCCTCTCCCCCAAATAAAAATTTGGTAGAGGAAGAGAACAACCCAGTTAAATGATTGTGAGAAATTCGCTTCAAACAAGTGAAATAAATGCACACCGACACATTATATTTCCCACATCTTGGCTTTTAGGTATTGGAATATTTTTCGGACAGCCGAGCATAATTTTTTATTTGTGACATTAAAATGTACATATGTATGTATTTTATAGAAATCGCTTTTTAGCTGCTGAAACGATTTTTGGACGAACTTTTGCTGCATTTAAAAAAAAAAAAAAAAAGATCTACCGTTCATGCTAAGACCTCTACAATTAAATATAATCAAAAGTTTCATTTTACTTCTGTATATTATATGTACTTACATACACGTATGTATGTACAGCGACTCAGTTAAGAACTCGGACATACATTCCACTGTTATTAACATGCAACTAAAAGCTAAATTTTTTTTTTAACCAATTGATATTAAACACTTTTGTTTTTTATGTTCCCATAGGGTATCCAATAGGGAATTAAAAAATGCCGATAACAAACAAATTAAATAGTTTATGGGTCTCCTAAATCCTTACTTCAAAAAAATAACATGCGGCATGCTAGAAATTTTGCCAAAAAAGAAGACGGACATCTGGTAATATAACAGTTGCTTAGCATTTAGAAAAGGGGAATCCCAACATTAGTTTGTTTTCGTTTAAAAATACATATGTACATTATATGATCAAACGTAATAGCTTAAAATAAAATTTCAGTATTTTTTTTTTTTTTGGAAAAAAAGGTGAAAAATTCAAACATGGGTAGACAGCGTGGACAACGTTCAATTGAAATAAGGAAGTTAATCATTAGTCATTTTGAAATAGGAAAACCCAGTCGGGAAATCGCAGATATTATGAGCAGACCCCGCTCGACTGTGCATGACGTGATTAAACGATTCAAAAAAACAAAATCCGTGGAAAACAAAAAGAAGTCTGGACGACCGAAGCTTTTTTCGGCTGCAGTTGAGCGGTGGATAGTGCAGCAAATCAAAAAAAAAAAACCAAACTTGAGCGCTCCCAAGCTCTCAACAGAAGTTTTGCAACACCTCAATATAAATTATAATCCGGGAAAGTATTCGAATAGTCTTACGAAAAAATAATTATAACGGAAGAGTAGCACGGAAGAAACCATTTATAAACGAGGTTAACCGAAACAGAAGGATAAGATTTGCAAAATGTCATGGGGATAGGGATTTTCAATTCTGGAAACAAATTTTATTTGCAGATGAAAACAAGTTTAATATATTTAGGTCAGATGAAGATTTGCTAGAAAAGAATTTACGTCCGACTGTTAAACACGGGGCGGATCAGTAATGGTATGGGGTTGTATGTCCGCGGCTGGTACTGGAATTTTGTGTTTCATAGACCACAAGCAATATCTGACCATTTTAAAAGAAAATTTAGTGCAAAGTGCGAAAAGGTTGTGAATTAAAGACAATTTCCAGTACTACCAAGACACCGATCCCAAGCATAAAACACTTGATGTCCGTCTGTAGCTGATGTATAACTATCCTAAAGTGCTTGAAACACCTCCTCAATCTCCTCATTTGGAAAATAAACTGAAAATGCATGTTATTAGAAAAAAAAAGACCTAGAAGCCGCTATTTTGGAAGAGTATGAGAAAATAAATTTTTTAACATGCAAGAATCTAGTTGAATCTTTGCCAAGAAGACTGAATGCTTTCAGAAAAAGTAAAGGCTTGCCAACTAATTATTAAGAATATTTTGTTTCTCTTTAAATAATATTTTTAAATTCTATGCTATGTACATATACATAATGCCCGAGTTCTTTTTTGTCATCAGTTTTGTTGAGTTGTTATGTTCATATTATTTTTGTACGACCGAGTTGAATTTAGTTTGTGGTTTTGGTTGCTCTGAAAAATACACTTGAAGAATAGAAATATATGTTAAACAGAAAGCCCTCGATTTGCATTATATTTTACATCTTTTTTGTTTGAAGTCATATAACTCGGGAGTCCGAGCTCATTTTTGAGCCACTGTATATTAAAAAATCGTATGCCTAGTTTTCATTAGGCCATATTTTTGACATCAAAACTTATTAGTCATACGATGGGCAGCTCGATTTCATCTTACCTGTCATTATGAATCGACAGTTTTTGACATCTAATTTTGCTAAATATAAATCGTATTCAAAAAAGCATTAAAATGAACAATGACATGCATGCTTGCCTCACGACGAGTGGTGGATTCGTCATAGGAGCTCTTCCAGCACATTTTGCAATTTTCGTGTATGGTTTTCTGTTGAAAGCCGCCCGAAAGAAATATTTATTTAGTAATTTTTTTTCTCTGTTTCCCAAGTATTTACGAGGGAAGAGTAGCGAAGGCTACAATTGTACTCCCTGGATCGACCTCTCGGATTCCTCTGTGGACCACTGCTACTTCATTTGTCTTTCGCTCTTCCATAGTGTTTTCTTCCATGTTTTGAACTGAAAATCATATTAGAATCAAATAAATAATTTCGTATTATAAAATGTTAAATTATAAAATCGTTATTGGCGTACCTAAATTGAAGCGTTCGGCGTAGCGTTTTCTAACGCCAATGAGTTGCAACGCGCGCTATCCCAAAATAAAAGCGCTTACGTTTTGACGTTTTCTCTTTCTCTTCAAGTTCGTAATCCTTTAACAACATTTAATTGAATTTATTTCAAACAAAGAAAATACAAATTTAATCGGTCGGCAAAAGTGTGCCTCCACCAGTCGAATAAACTTTTCAGTGAATATTTACCATTTTATTTTCAAAATATAATTTATTTGTGAAATTTTTCTGCAATTTGTTTATTTCTCTTCGTCAGTTTATCCTCCTTTCTTTTAGACTTTTATCCTTCACATCTAACTTCATCATATAACGCGCTGTCAAAATTGAAAATTCCATTTGCTCAACGTTGACACCTCGTTATTGTGGGGTGTTCCATACCAATTGCACGGTCATGAGGATTTTTGACAGTTGTTTAGCGCTCAACGCTCCAATTTAGGGAAAGCAGTTGCCTTTAAAACTTTTCATGGTCCCGTGTCTTTCAATTTATGTGCATATGTATGTATGTATTCAGTTTTATCAGCTGTTCACGCGGCAAACGAAAACAATTAATGTAATTTGTGTGTCCAACGCTGTCACATCGATGCTCAAATCGAAATTTGCTTGTGACAAATTGACAACAATCGCAAATAACACAATATGACAACCCGTTTTCATTATTTTGACAGCATTTGTCGTCATATATGACCTAATGAAAACCAGGCATTAGGGTGTTTACTCTTGCCATAAATCTTGATACAAAATATTTCTCATTTGATGATCACTTTTTCTGTACGGTGGTTTTGTAGGCACCAATAATTTAATAACATTTAACGTCCACTCTATCTATCTATCACAAATTTAGATCAGCACCTTACGATTCAACTTTACGTTCGGCTCGGCGTTCGGCGCGCACTCTGCAAGCTATTGTGGGCACCACATCGCCAATAATGTGGGTATTAACCACAAATAAGAAGGAAAAGAGTTGCAGCTAATTAAAGAACCGAACGAACTTTGGTACGATGCTAATTGAAATGAAATTGATCTTCGTGAGATCACTAGAAACTGCCGACGTATTATGGTGATATTTGACTATCTCTTGAACTTTTCCAAAACCAATATCAGCATCGTTTTATGTTCCTACCTTAATTTTGGTATTCACTATCAGGCCTATTCTGTCGAGGTAACAAAATTTACCTAGGTATTATAATTTACCATTCAGTAAATTTTGTTACCATTTCGTATTCTGAGCTCACTGTTACCCTGTAAATTTTGTTACCAGCGAAATGGGAGGTAATAAAAGTTTCACTATTTGATTTTGTGTTGTAAGTTTGAGAGAAAATAAAAAAACCAAAATGAATAGGCATATTTTAGGCCTGGAATTCATTGAAGATGAAGAAAAAAGTGCAAAAAGCCGCGTTTTAAGAAGTTTTCGAGACTAAAAAATAGCCCTTTAATTTGTAAGATAAGGTTTTCATTCAGCTTTTTTTGTTCTCCAGGCATATTTTCCTTAATTATGTTTAAATATTTATGATTTAATAAACAAATTAATAAAACTTTTTAATTTTTTTGTGCACCGTCTTCTTCTAACTTTATCAACTGGCAAATGTATTTGGTTGCCCAAAAAGTAATTGCGGATTTTTCATATAGTCGGGGTTGACAAATTTTTTCAATGGCTTGTGACTCTGTAATTGCATTCTTTCTTCTGTCAGTTATCAGCTGTTACTTTTAGCTTGCTTTAGAAAAAAAGTGCGCGAAATTTTTTTTACATTTGTTTGTTTGGCGTCAATTTTAATATGGAGCCCACAAAGGAGCAATTTCGTCATATTTTACTTTATTATTTCCGTAAAGGAAAAAACGCGGAGCAGGTTGCAGGTTGAACCAGCTCAAACCACTTCAAAGGCTGATATCCACCAAAAGAAGGTTATGCTGTCTGTTTGGTGGGATTGGAAGGGTGTCGTATATTTTGAGCTGCTTCCAAGGAACCAAACGATTAATTCGGATGTTTACTCTCAACAATTGGACAAATTGAATACAGCCATCAAGGAGAAGCGACCAGAATTGGTCAATCGTAAAGGTGTCATACTCCACCAGGACAACGCTAGACCGCACACATCTTTGGTCATTCGCCAAAAACTGAGTGAGCTTGGCTGGGAACTTTTGATGCATCCACCATATAGCCCTGACCTTGCACCATCAGACTACCATTTATTTCGATTTTTGCAGAACTCCTTAAATGGTAAAACTTTCGGCAATGATGAGGCTATAAAATCGCACTTGGTTCAGTTTTCTGCAGATAAAGGCCAGAAGTTCTATGAGCGTGGAATACTAAATTTGCCAGGAAGATGGCAAAAGGTTATCGAACAAAATGGCAATTATATATTTGATTAAAGTTCATTCTAAGTTTTATTAAAAATGCATTTACTTTCTTTTAAAAAATCCGTAATTACTTTTTGGGCAACCCAATAATTTGACATGGACGAAAAAAGCAGTATTGCCAAATTTTTTTCAAATATTGTAACCAGTTCGCCAGAATACCAAATTCAATTTCGGGTGTTAAAGAAAAGAAACAAAATTTACTTTACCGGTAACAGTGAGAATAGGCCTGTATGTGTCTTCTTTTGCACCGGACCGGTAAAAGAACGTCCAGCTGGTTTATAATTTGAATTTATATGCAACACAGCCGAATTTATAACATCGCGCCATCGTTCAATGTTCTGTTCTCAATTTTTTCTATTCGATATGTTTAAATCTGCACAAGTTCATTCGTGCTAAAAGAAAAAACTTTTCTTATTTTACTTGGGATATTTTCCGTTCAATTGTCAAATTTTAATTTTAAACCAAAATTTATTATTATCCTTCGGCCATTAAGATTCCCTTTAAAATATATATAGTATGTATGTACATATGTTTGTATAACAGTTTTTTTTATATAATATAAATTATTTTCCATTAATTCGAAGATATGCTGTGAAGAATTACAAACAGTTATGGTACCGTTGCCGGATTGTGCGAGTGGCGAATGGGGTCCAACTAAAGCGACTAGACTTTTTGGATTAATACCTATAACGCATCAGGTAAATTCCCAATACTTAACTAAGATGTAGCGTTGACTTATACTGGAAATTTTTGAACAATATAAAATTCTCGCAGGATCCACTTATATTTGCTGGACGTAGTTTGGATCTTCAGTTCCGAATGTCACGTCCATTGACAGATTTCATGGCCACACTCCACAAGAACGGCATTGAAGAAAAGAAACTTGCAAAGTATGTGACGCACAGCACGTTGGATGACATCGTGACTTTCATAATTAAGTAAGGACAAATATATGTATATCTACAATAAATAAATATTGTACATGTACTATCAAACACTGTTTTTTTTTTTTAATCTTACAGCTTTCCCGAGGAAGGACAATACGGTTTGGATATATACACTCGTGAGGCTGGAAGCATGGCTTCACATCACAGCAACTCTTCGACAACAGGCGAAAAACATTTGCTCACACACTGCTGTAAATATTTAATAAACTCGTCGAAGCGAAATTAAACGTCTGTTAGTGCATTGGATGCAATCTTGTTACAATATTTTTAGTTTAAATACAGAATTACCAATTACGTTTAAGAGTTTTGTATATTTAACACCAATTGTTTTTTAAATTAATACCATACATATTAATATATAATATTATTATACTTCTTAGAATCCAAATAATATTGAATTGTGTACAATTTTACATTTATATTTAAACAATTAATATACAAAAATAATGCAACTTCCCGAATATATGCGTGCCATAAAACTTTTCATTTAAAAGCAGAGTTGTGGAATCGGTAATTAGTATGCCGTTCAACGTTGTCGTTAGACCGTATGCTCATTGATATTGTTGTTGTAGTTGTAGCGGCCACGTTTGCTCCGCTTAGAAGGACGGACCAGTTAGTCTTAGTCACCGAGGTAATCTAACGGGAGGTCCAGGAAACGAACTGTTTAGAGCACTGAGCAAAAGATGCTGCGGTGACATCAGGAGATTTCCCGTCGCGGTCCTGAGGGCTGTGTTCTTCCAATATCTTGGGGTTGTTAATGGTCGTAATATTTACGCCATCGACCTAATCTAATTCGAGCCTGTGCTCCTTCGTTCAACTGGTGAAGAGGGTAGCCGAAGATTTTTTCGGTTTTATCTTAAGTTATATTGGAGTGAAGAACTGGGACAGGTCGGCGAGATAGCAGTCCACTTCCTAGCAAAGGTCATCAATATTCTGGCCTGACGCCAATATCGTGCAATCGTCGGCATACGAGGTTAAGGAAACTCCGTCTGATGGAGGATGGAGTTTCGATATGTAAAAATTAAACAATAGCGGGGAGGTTTGGATGTTTCACCTCGGAATGTCGACCACTCAAGTAGCCCATGACACCTCTGCAACCCCGGCGGTAATGAGGATTCCTCAATGTCCGTTAGCAGCACTGAGTGGTTGACGGTGTCAAAAGCTTTTGACATATCCAGTGTTAGCAGAACAAATCGTGAGCAGGGTTGATTTTGGTTTAGGCCATTGATTATCCGAGTATTTATGGCATTTAGTGCTGTTGTGGTATTGTGTCTTCGCTACTGCACGGTGTCGCCCGCGATCCTTGCGGATGATGTTCCGTATTCCGACGTACTATGGTCTGATACATGGAACAAACTGTGCGGGGGACTAGGAGCTGCCGAGTAGCCCTCGCACGAGAGGAGAAAGAGGAACTGGTTGTGGGTAGGGATTGGGATTGGTGGGAGTCATGCTGTAGGGAGTTCTTTGAGAAGGTATGGCAGCATGGGGTCACGTAACTTGTGGACCACCCCCTGTGGGTCTTGAGGCCTGAGTAAATTTTAAGATGACTCCAACCATTACACAGGTTGCGTCTAACCGAGGTAGGGAAGTGATGGAGTCTTTTATGGCACACGCAAGAAAATTATCCGTCGGACCAGGGTCGGAACAGGTTTCGACGCCAGCACTGATGAAAAGGCGTTGGTGCACTTAAATTAGTGTTACCTGTTGACCTAAACGGTGTTAATCGCCTGTTGCAAATTTGATGGGATTTGAAAACCTGTTAAATCCAGCTGGTGCTATATTTGGTGTGAATGATGATAACAATAAACGACACCGCGACATTAGCAGCAAAAATACGCAAACAGATTTAGAGAGAATTCCTGATTAAGAAATCGAAGAGCACACAAATACACGACTAACCTTTTTATCTATACATAATAGTAAATAAGCGAAAATCGAACATACGTAACTCGCGAAATTTGAAAATAACGGTTATTTTCTGATCACACCTCGTATATATAATTGGCTCTTTGTAACTGCTGATCCTCCTATAATTTTTGGGTTGCGTCTTCCAACAAATGGAGGGACCCACAGTTTATACCAAGCCGCCTCCGAACAGATGATGGTTCTTTATTAGTAGCCCTTATTTCATGTCAGAAATACACTCGGAGAAGCGAATGTATTTATATATTTAAATAAATTTTCTATAACTTTTTGATGTTGATCGTAACAAGCATCAAACCCTGGCCTTCCCAATGGCAATACGCAATAATAACCACTCGACTACCGCATATTCATACATACTTTTACTTTTAATACGTGACTTTTTCTGAAAATTATATTTTGTATTCCCTATTTCGATTATTTCTTAGTGTTTTTAGATCATATATCGGGCCGTGAGTATAAATACATATTGTATTACATTTCAATCCTTATTTCCATTTTGCTGGGTATTCTTATATTGAATTAAAATTTAAAGTTTATCATAGTTTCCTAATTATCCTCTATTGCAAATTTTACGTTATTTTCGCTGCAATTGAAAAGCGCTGTTACCGATTTCGATAAAATACAAAATTAAATATTTCCATAACTATGATGACTTGCTCAGAATGATCTTCTATTAATAGCAAATTTCGAAAAATCAGAAGTAATACATTTTTAATATTTTTCTTGTTTCAACAAAAAACAACAAAATTTACAACGCGAGTAAGGTAAGTATGCTTGTTTGCAAAATCGTGCGGAATCCACTGGAATATACCCGAAGCGTAGAAGGCATCTCAGACTGCGCTGCCGTTAATCACAACCGCTCAAGGAAGCAAGCAAGGGTAGACCCACTCAGATCAGATTAAGTCTAATCTACATGTTGAGCAGATAATTAATTCCGTTGCAAATAATAAGCTCTTTATCCGTATCTCTTCACTGACCACTCGAGAGTTGAATTCTTGCATATATAGGCATGGATGCATGCACGAAAATACATACAGAATACAAAAATACACAAATGGTAGAAATATGCCTTTGCCTAAAATTTATATATTTTTCTAAGTCGTGAACGGTTAACAGATTTTCATAAACTTTTTAAATTTATGAAAAATTTAAACAAAAATTTTTTACAATTTTAATGTGCTCAAATCAATCCCTAATTAATTAAACGAAAATAAAAAATGAATTTTCATACATCTATTTTTATTATATTTTTTCCAATCCGTATATATACTACTACAGCAATAAGAAAAATAGAAGACCAAAAATTTAGCGATTGCCTCATGTAATGATTTTTTGAATAATATTGGTACAATTACATTGTTTATAATATTGTTAGTAAATTGTTGTTTTTACGCGCATGTTTCCACAAACGAAACTGCTAAAAACTACGTAAACTCTTATATGTGTTTTAGTAGTCCTTACAACTAGTGCAGTTAGCTTTTAATCTATTTGGTAGTTTCCACAATTTGCTGTCATTCCAGTTTACCACGGATAAACCGTACGCACCAGCCAGACTGTAATAGACCTCAAAACCATTGTAAAATATGTCATAAAGTTTCATTTCATCGTCCATAGGAAACACTACATTCAAACCAGAAAATTTACTAATGAATTAAAGTTAAATGGTTTCAAGATCTCATACATTCTAACAGAGACGATGATAGTATAATCTATCTTGTATCCATTTCAAAGTTATATGGTCTTAGTAAATAAACAATAATTAAGAAAATTACTGGTGGGAATTTCTGAAAATAAAGTCAGCTCTTATTTTAGTACATAATAAGTTCTTTTTGGTCTTTTTAATTGTTCGTTTAGTTTCATTTAAAAACGAAAATTATTATTTATATTCAAAGTGTGAACGATTGAAAATTAAGGAGCTTGTAAGTCTTAAAATTATTATTTTTTTTTTTTGTTGCATATAAATCCTTTAGCCAATAACATACGTTTACTGACATCCTCATGTTGGCGACATTTGACTTAGAAGTTTCGCCGCCCGTTGTTTTCGTGAACACTGAAACATTTAAAGAGAATATACGTTTGAATAAACATTGTTGAATTAAACAAATTAAGAAAATTATATCAATAAATTAGTAAATAGATAATAATGTATTGAAAACTTTAGTTAGTACATATATTTAACACACATAGTCACTGAACATACCCACAGAACCGATTAGCTATATTTCTAATCGTAATTATTATGCATGTATGGGAAAAATGAAGGCATTAATGCACTTTGTAAGAAGACAAGGGATTTATTGTTACTTGTTAAACAAAACAACAAAATCACTAGTCTTCCAAGCAAAATGCATCTGATATTAATTAGTTGAGCGAAAAATGTGGTTACACAAGCATATCTAATCGTTTATCGCATTTTTAAAGAACACATTTAAACTTTTTAACCATAATCACCACTTTAGTACACATAAATAAAAATGAGTTAGTTAAACGACATTTGAAACAAATGAATTAGTATTTTCCTCTATTCGTAAAATAAAATACAATGTAAAATGGATGGAGTATGTATTGTAAAAAAACATGAGTTAGGAAATATGTTCGTACTTTTAAGATGTGTTCGACACCAACCTCTGTTGTAATAGATACTGGGCCATTTGGATTTGTTTAGGATTACCAGAAATGGTAATGATACGATCTGTAGATCCCGGAAGTGGCTCATCAATAGTTATGTATGCACCAGACTCATTGCGAATGCGTCGAATACGGCCACCTCCTTTGCCAATAATAGCACCAGCCAGCTACAAATAATCCGATTAGTACCAATTTACGAATTGCTAATATTTATTGTGTAATAAGTACTTACATCTTTCGGAATTGTAACCTGCGTACTATTTTTCGGATCATGTCCATTTGGAAGATTTCCAGAATTGCCACCATTAGGACCATTGTTAGCAGGTCCTGGTCCAAAACCTCCGACCCCACCTGATCCCATACCACCACCAGATCCCATACCATTGTTGTTGTTTGGACCACCAAATCCACCACCTTGGTTCATGCCGCCGCCAAAGTTGCCACCACTGTTCATTTGATTGCCACCGAAACCGCCGCCCGGATTTCCTCCGCCGAAGTTTCCTTGGTTACCTGGTCCGAAACCACCGCCGTTACCTCCAAAGTTATTACCAGATGGACCACCATTATTTCCACCGAATCCACCACCACCATTGCCGCCGAAATTGCCTCCACCGAATCCGCCACCAAAGTTGCCGCCTCCGAAGTTTCCACCACCATTATTACCACCAAAGCCATCATCGTTAGCCCAGGGATTTATAAACGGATTATCACGTCGGCCACCACTGCGACTGCGATCGTTGCGTCCACCTCGGTCGTTACCAAAATTGCCGCCACCTCCATTACCACCACCGCCGCCGCCGCCACCACGACCACCACGTGATTGGCGATTATTGCCGCCATTGCCACCACCACCACTACCACCGGAACCATAGCCGCCATATTCATCGGCGTACATACGATCAAAATTGGTAGGATCATAGTTATGAACAGGTCCCTTGATGGGAGTCTGAAATTTACAATTGATAAAGATGCAAGTGTTATTATTTTACAATTTTATAATTTTATATGTGTTAAAGGAACATACCTCTCGTGTCAATGTGATCACCTCTCGTATGGCATCAACCACCTGGGATTGCTTGCCAACGGTTTGCACTACACGGTCTGTGCTTTGTGGTGCAACATTTGAGAAGACTTTCAAGATGCGACAACCAATTTTCTACAACAAGAAAAATATACAATTAAATTTTAAATTTCAAATCTTATTTCAATAATCAATTGCCATTAAAAAGCCAGCTTTTTATTTAACATAAAATCGATTATTGAATTGGCAAATAATCGAGTTAGTGATACAGCAAAGGCAGGATTGCATCATTTCGATATAATAAAATCTCATACCTAGTACAGTCCGCAGCGAACATGCGAACCTTCGCCTTTATGTTTTTCATATATAAAACCTGACCACTGTGTGATACAATACGGTACAATGAATATATACAAATATATACGCTTGACCAAGAAATAGTTGGCTGATAATTCAAATTTGGAGGACAGAAAAGAAAACATAGGGCGACAATTGTCCTCAAAGCACAAACACAGGAACCAAACGCCAAGTTATAAAGTTGAGTCACAGCCTTTTATAGCGAATGAGAATTGCTTCAATATTCACCCTACATTTCAGTTAGTCGGAGAATTCAGCACACACTCATGCAAACATACTAAAAGTTATGTATATGACAATACTCGTTCAGAGCAAAACAATTTTATTAATTATGAACATGAGCAAACACAATCGGCATGTGCACGCCAGTATACTTTCATATTCAGCAGCTAGAGCACCTAACATACATACATCAATACATGGAAATTTAGAAATGTCACACAAAGAAATACAATACAATTGAATGTCGAATAAGTGTTATAAAATAAAAAAAAATAACTATGACGCGATAGTTGCCAGTAATAAGTAGAGCACATATTAACACTGTAATCATACCTTCGTCCACTTCCATTGCTATTTTATTGGAATCCTTGAGTAAATTAATATTAATATTGCATGCAGTCCAAGTCCAATTATTCTTATTGATTAATTCAAATGTGAAAAATACACTTTATTCGCGTAAAATGAAAAATGTATGAAATGTATAAAACTGAATGTAAAGAGCGACGACCGAAAGCTAAAGAAAACCAACATCTCTGACGAGACGCTGATACGATGCCGAACTGCCGAATAAAGATGTTACCGCGACCAATCGTAATATTAAACTAGTTGGACTGAATTCATAAATTCCAAAACGCTGTGTCAGCATTGGTAAAGGATATCTTCGACTGCTGTTAATAACAACGCGCACGCAACTCATAGGGGAGAACGATACTGAGAAATGGCCAAACCAGTAACAATTGACAGGAAGAGTCAGTCTCATTGTACATACAAAGAACTGTCTACCCATTAGTTTGGATACATACCTATGCATATGTATGCCATTATGTATATGTGCATATCTGTGTGAATTGGGACTTGTAAATACCACTACAAATGCACATTTCGAACCAGCAATAAGCGATAATACAACCGTACATAAAAATGTAAAAAATTGGTATTTTTTCCACACATACAGACGCACGGGATAATTTCACTCAATACGACAGAATGTACTCTCGCCTCTCCAACGTGACTTCATACTCACAGGATAATGAGGATAAAACTAACCGAACATGGCAACAAACTAGTGCATGTGATTGTGCGTGTCTCCACTGCACGCAACGGAACCGGTGTTCGGCAAACACATGCGCAGTCAAGTCAGCCCTTCGTTCATCGTTTCTTTTTAAGTATTTATCTCCCTACTTCAAATTACCTACATATACACACATCTATACATGCCTACATCTGCACATACATCTGTTCATATGTGTACATTTCAAAAAAAAAAAAAAAAAATCTACCAAACTTACCTACCTGCAAACGTACGTACTGCTTGTAGCTTGTAGCTTGTACCACAAATATAATCAAATATAGAATCTCCAAATAAAATTAAAAATGGCACAATACTACGTTTAGTTCTGTAGGCTGCCAACTAAATATTCATGCGTGTACATACGTGTATGTGCATGTAGTATAGAATGAAAAAAAATTCGAAATGAGAAGTAGATTCATTGTGTTGAGCGATTGTGACTTTGTATACTCCCTCTTAAGGAATTTTAGGCAACTGCGAAATGGCACAAATGGAACTTAAACTAATTATAAGTTTTCTTATATTTATTTAAATATAATAAATAACGGTATTATAGGAACAATTTTAGAGATAGTTATGTAGCAATTGAATTGAGTGTTGAAGGCAATAAAAAGTCCGAAATATTGGTATATATTATACAATCATCTATTCATTCAGGTAGACACGCAAATGCTTAAATTGTTGCTGTTCCATGGGCGAGAATATTGTGCTTGTCCACCAGCTGTCGTTGTGAATTCATACTGGAGTAGGTATTAAAAAACAGGAAGAGGCGGACATGGACACTGTCACAATGTACATACATATGTATGTGTATTAGCACTGTATGCATTTAGATATGTGTGTATATACATACATATGTAAGTATTTCAGATATTCATACATAAATATAAAATATATATGGTATATATATATGTATGTACATACTTTTGAAGTAAAACCAAGTTTAACTTAAGGGGGGAACCTGGTTTAGAACGCTGAAAATTGCATGATATTCGGCACAGTGTTTTAGGTTGCCTTACCCATGAAATGTTTCAAGTACTTTTGAAATAGGTCATAGATACACAAATCTTGCAAAAAAAAATTTACTTTCACTTTATTTGATACTGTTAAGCAATAGTAATTCGTATTTGTTTGTGGCACCTCTCGCTCGAAGAGTCTATTTTGTGAACACGATAGCGATCGTAGTTTTCATCTGAAACATAAAAACGAATACTTTTTTTTGTAGCTTAGGAGTTGCTCTTCTATGTGAACCTAAGATATTCGAAGAAATGTATAAAATTATTTATTTTATGACTGTTTATAAAAAATTTTGCGTTCTTCTAAGAAAATTTTAAGATAATTTATTGAAAAAAGTTAATAGTTTTTATTGTGATTTTTTAGGTTCACATAGAAGCCTACACTATTAGCTGTAAAAAAGGTATCACTTATGAAAATGTAATACAATTACAAATTTTTTAATCGTGTGCCCAAAACAGAAAACACTATCTTGAGAAAAGCGCGTTCAAAGTCCTCGCGCCCGCTTATCAATCTCCTGAGCGCATTGCCTCTCGGAAGCCATTCCTGCGGAACGATTAGGATTTTGACTCCGAAATTTTGTGGAAATATTTCTGAATATATTTCTAATCGAATGAGATAAGTCTCAAAAAATTGATTTTTTTACCCTCTAAATCAGGTTACGACCTTAACCGAGTCTTACCTCTGGCGGATTGATTTCACGGAAATATATATAATGTATATACTAGTAAAATGAAGAGTTTAGATAAGGAGAGAAATATGTATTGGTATAATTTAATAGGTTTAAAACTGACGTTAAGCAACATCAAAAGCTCCACCGAGAAGGACCTCCGAGTTTTTGAGAAAAGTTTTGAGTAAGATTTAAGATTCTTTACGAATTGGCAACTATACTATATGCCGAAATTATGCACAAGTTCTGAATACTAACAGTAGCAACGCTGAAATATCTAGTCTGTTATAAATTGCTTGAAACCCGTGATCCCTCTTTCTATGTTTCATTGGATTAATAAACGCACTGTGGCTATACGGAGAATTGTAATAAGTGCGGAGGGCATGATTTGGCGCAGCTCGCCATTACCTTTTAACTGATTAATATCTGATTAAGGTCTAAAAAATAGCATTATATGTGGGATGACATTCAAATTTTGGGGCATAAAGTTCGAAATAGAGTCCGGAATATAGAAGGCAAACAAACACTAAGTATGGATGAGCTCCAAAACATCAGTTGCAAGGCAAGCATTCATTGTCACGCATTCCTAAATGCAACTGTGCAAACTTTGACGATGTATCCTGTTCCAAAATACATGGGTAAAGTTATTGATGCGCAAATAAAAGCAAACTGCGCATCATAAGTTTTTAGCAACAATGACCGACATAAACATTTTGTTTAAAAATGGTAAACGAAACGCGCTTATTATCGACTGCAAAGGAAGAATAAAATTACCTTTAAAATAATAGTATCGTGTTATATCCCTCAAAAGTTCGGAAACTTCACAACAAACATTTGAGCTGCCGGGTATCTAGAGCTGTAATAGTTTCGACAACGATTTTTTGCCATTGGGAGTATATAGCAGTTTAGTTTCGAACATAAGATATCAATATCTTGAACAGGATGGAAAGCTTTATTTACCAAAATTACAATTATCTGATTTATTTCAAATAAATATGCACCGTTTTTGTGGATTTGGCAAATACCTGACGCGTGGCATCGGCGAATAAAACCTCAAATTTAATGCAAAAGTGAAGGATTACATTTTACAGACAGATTTTACAAACATTTTAGCATTTAAATTTTAGTTTAGAAAAAAAAACTAAACATCAATCAGCATGAATATCAATCTGTTGTTATTTATTGGGTTTACGTTAAGTAGTTCACTCAGGCACAGATTTTACTGTGTAAGGAAGTGAAAAAGACAAGAACTGGCATACATATATACGATACTAAGTTGTTTGTAAGTACAGACTATGCGAACACACACAAAATATACGACCCGAAATACAAGAAGAAAAGAACGAGCACAGTATAACGGAATATGACAGATACATATACGCATACGATGGCATATGGACGCATGCATTTAGAACGGATGTGACAAATAATGCAGGAAGTAAGAGGAATCGTAACCACATTTGTCACTAACATCTTTTGCGCTTGCGCATCGATGAGCACTAAATCATTTTACAGAACAAAATTATTTAGATCTGAAAGTTTGATCTTATTTAAGGGCCAAAATCTCTTAATTCTCCCGTGAATGTGAGACAGATGTTACTATCAATGCTGGCATGTTTGTCAAACAATCCCCAAAATAGTGATTGAAAAACCTTAGCTCGTACCACAGGAGTATAAAATATAATGCCAGAATCAATTTCGGAAATACATATGCACAAGCACATCTGCCACTTTGCGCATCTTTCACAATCCACCAACAACAAACACGTGTAGGCTCCTAAAACTACAGACACTCAAACGAGC